CTCACATCGATATGTTTGCTTCGATCATGAAGCACCGGATTCTTTGAGAGTTTGATAGTGGAACTATTGTCACAGTTGATGTAAATGTAGGCCTCTTCTTGTCCAAGCTCTTTCAAGATCTTCTTCAACCATAAACATTGACTCGCACACATAGTTGATGCGACAAATTTTGCTTCAGTTGTTGATAAAGTAATAATTGGTTGTTTCTTTGAGCTCCATGAGATAGCTCCAGAACTTAATAAGAAAACATAACCACAACCACTGGTGCTTTTCCTGTCTTCCACATCCCCAGCATAATCACTATCTGTAAAGGCCTTGAATTTATTATCTCCACTCCTCTTGTAGTATATGCCATAGCTCATGGTCCCTTTCAAGTATCTAAGGACCCTCTTTGCTGCCTGCAAGTGAAGCTCAGTAGGTGTTGACATAAACTTGCTTATCAAACTGGTCACAAACATGAGGTCTGGTCTAGTTGCCGTTAGATACATCAAACTACCAACAAGTTGTTTGAAATAAGTCTCATCAATCATAATTCCCCGCTTGTCTTTGTTGATCTTGAACCTTGGCACCATGTGACTCTTAACTTCATTGTTCTCCATCATTGCAAATCTTCTTAAAACCTCCTGGGCATATCTCTTTTGACAAATGAAGATACCTCCTTCCTTTTGCAAGACTTCTATACCAAGAAAATAGCTCATGCTTCCCAGATCACTCATATCAAATTCTCTCATCATAGAAACTTTAAACTCAAGCATCATATCATCATCATTACCTGTGTAAATCAAATCATCTACATACAAACTTACGATGATAAGTTTACCTCCATTTCCATGCTTTGTGAACAAAGTCTGTTCACTCTCACACCTTGAGAATCCTTCCTTGACAAAATGAGACCCTATACGACTGAACCAAGCTCTAGGAGCTTGTTTCAAGCCGTACAAAGCCTTGTGTAGTTGATACACCATGTGTTCCTTGCCTTCCTTCTCATATCCTCTAGGCTGATCAACGAACACTTTCTCAATTAACTCTCCATGCAAGAAAGCATACTTGACGCCGAGTTGATAGATTCTCCAACCTTTCTGAGCTGCTAATGCCACTATCGTTCTCACAGTGTCAAGTCTTGCTACAGGCGCAAACACTTCATTATAATCGATCCCCTCCTTTTGTGAGTAACCCTTGGCCATGAGTCGTGCCTTGTGCTTGATCACAGGTCCTTGCTCATCATGTTTGGTCTTGTAGACCCACTTTACCCCGGTCCTCTTAGCTCATTCTGGTAAGTCTGTAAGAGTCTAAGTATGGTTTTTCTCAATAGCCTGAATCTCTGCCTCCATAGCTTGGCGCCACTTCTCTTCTGTCACTGCATCTTCAAAGTAAATAGGATCCTCAACAGAAACGTCTTGCACCATGTGAGCTTCATCCTCCTCACTTAGTCCTTCACCAGTAAAATAGTCATCCATCCAACTAGGAGGTCTTCTCTCCCTCCCTTCAACTGTACATCTTACCTCAGATCTTCTTAGCTCACTTCTAACTGCACTAGAGTTTTGTGTTTCCTTGTTCCCACCTTCTTCTCTTTCACCTATAGCCCCATCACCACCCTCTATATCATCCTTTCCTTCTACTCTATTTCCAAACCCTTCAAAACCTTCATCATCATCACTCAACATTAACTCTGCTGAAATTTGTTCCTTATACATATCACCATAGCGCCACATCTTATCTTCTTCAAACATTACATCTTTACTAACTACTACCCATTTTCTATCAGGATCGAACAACTTATACCCCTTGGATTCCTCACTCACACCCAAAAAAGATACATGGAAAGCTTCTATTATCTAGCTTACTTCTTTTTTCTTTCGGTATATGCACATGAGCAAGACATCCCCAGATTCTAAAATGATCCACAGAAGGTTTTATTCCGCTCCAGGCCTCTTGTGGTGTGACATCCTTGACTGCTAAGGTAGGGCACTGATTTTGGACGCAGAAAGTCCATAATATAGCTTCAGGCCAAAAAGTAGTTGGAACTTTCTTGGCAGACAACATCGATCGAACCATGTTCACCACAGTTCGATTTTTTCTCTCCGCTACGCTATTTTGTTGCGGTGTGTATGCTGTAGTGAGCTGCCTCTTAATTCCCTGCTCTTTACAAAAGTTGTTAAACTCATGAGAAGTAAATTCACCTCCACTATCTGTTCGTAGGCACTTGATGAACACTTTAGCTTCTTTCTCAACCATCTGCTTGAAATTCTTAAAGTGGTACAATGCCTCTGACTTTTCACATAAGAGGTATGCCCATGCCTTACGACTAAAATCACCAATAAAACACAAAACATAACTCTTGCCGCTATTGGATGTGGGAGATATTGGTCCACAAAGGTCTGTGTGCACCAGCTCTAGGACTTGACTTGCTCTCCAAGTGCTTTGTTTTGGCATGACACTTTTACGTTGCTTCCCATTCAGACAATCTGTGCATGTAGTCGTTGAGCTTGCAAATTGTGGCAATCCACAGACCATTTTCTTAAATTGCAAGGTTCTTAGACCTTTGTGACTCAAGTGCCCATATCTCTGGTGCCATAAGTAGGTTAAATCAGGAGAACTTGTGTGCATACATTCTTCAAGTTGAGCATTAGAACTTTGGGTTTCTACTACCAAGATAAACATACGATTCACACTCATTTTTCTTTGAGCAATCAAGCCCCTGTATGGATGATAAATATTGCAGATATTCTTTTCAATCAAAATTTTCAAGCCTTTCTCTTATAACTGACCAATACTCAACAAATTATTTCTCAAATCAGGAACAAAATATACTTTTCCAATGGTGTAAGTAATACCATTAAAAACAAGCTTGACAGCACCCTTTCCACCAACACTCAACCTAGAGTTATTCCCAAGCTTTACTGAATGTTTAAAACTCTCATCCAGCCACCAACACTCAACCTAGAGTTATTCCCAAGCTTTACTGAATGTTTAAAACTCTCATCCAGACTTGAAAACATACCTTTGTAACCTAGAGTTATTCCCAAGCTTTACTGAATGTTTAAAACTCTCATCCAGACTTGAAAACATACCTTTGCTATTGCACATGTGATTTGAGCAGCCAGAGTCTAAGAAGCAAGCATCATGTCGTGTAACTTTGTGCAATTCCACATAGGACATCAACAACATATCATCTTCTTCATCCAACACAGCGTAGTTTGCCTCCTTGTTCCATTTCAGTCACTCCCACTGAAAAATGGCCAAGGTTGTGGCACTTGAAGCATTCCATCGTTGCCTTGTCCCTTCCTCGACCCCTACCTTCCACCGTTGCCTCGTCCCTTCCTCAACCCCTACCTCTGATAGCACCTTTTCCTCTTATGGATGTCTGATCTTCTACTTTCAACGCCTGATCATCATCTTCTCTGCTCACCCTTTTAAATTTCTGCTCGTGTACTATCAACGAGCTCTGCAGTTCATCAATGAACATAGTCGAAGTATCCTTTGCTTCTTCAATTGAAACTACAACAGGGATAAACCTTTCTGCCAAGGTTTTCAAGATCTTCTCCATGATCTTTTCATCTGTCATATCTTCACCATTGCTTCTCATCTTGTTGGAGACAACAATCACTCTGGCAAAGTACTCCGTGATGGTTTCTTCATTCCTCATCTCTAGTATCTCGAACTCTCTTCTGAGTGTCTGAAGGTGAGACTTCTTCACCTTGTCATTCCCACCAAAATTTTGTTTCATAGAATCCCAAACAGTTTTGGCGGAACGACGATCTAATATCTGCTCGAAGACGATCCTGTCAATGGCTTGAAAGAGGTAATGCTTGACCTGATGATCTTTGGTCCTAGCATCATCAAGTTGTGCCTGCTGCGCATCTGTCAACAAGGTCCCCGCTCTTGGCTCCTCGAAACCTTTCTCCACCAAGCTCCACAAGCCTTTCGCTCGGAGCAAATTCTCCATAAGTTCACTCCAATGATCATAATGACCACTGAAATGAGGAATCTTAGTCAATCCCTTCTCTTCACTCATCTCTCTGTGTTTCTCTCTAAGCTGTTGCTTATCTCACTTTTTTCTCAGGCCCAGTGGGGGCTCTGATACCAGATTGTAAGGAACTATGAAACAAAGAGCAACTACACAAAACTGGAATTAAATTGCTTAATTATTATTCAACAGGTCAGGCCTTTAAATAGCCTAAGACCTTAACACTTGAGCTAAAAACAAGATCACACACAGCCACGTGCTTAACTGAAACAAGAAGAATTCAAATGCTAAACAGAATCCTAGAGACTAGGTCATATCGAAACACCTCCTAAAGTCTAGGACATTATTATCTGAAAGTAGAAACCAACTCAAATCCTAACAATATTGAGAATCCATCTGGTCCGGTGATTTATCATAAATAATAATAGACATTAATCATCTCCCAGTGGGAGAAATGAATGATTTCCTCTGAATAAAAATAAGTGAATCAAAATGCAAGCCACAACTTTATATCAAATTAAATAAAACATTAGAAGAGTCCAGTAGGAAGTGATTTACACAATTGATAGATTAACTAAAATTTCTAAACTAATCCTCTAACTATCAGTGAATTATATAGATCAATCCGTTCCACAGTGTTCTGATAGAATCTTTAATCAGAAAAGTCTAGGTATGATTTGTGTACGTATAAATCCTAGTCATAATTATTATATAATCTCGAAAAATCGAGAAATGCCTTGCAAATCCACATTCAGAATCAACTTCAGTCTTTTCAAGATAAAAGGTCAACAACTATCGTCTCTTTTCTCAGCGGTGTAACTATCGTTTGTTTTCTCTGTATTTTCTTTTATTTTGCTTCCTTTTCTTGTCTAATCCCTTTTTTCAATTTTTTTGATTGAATGAAGCAGCTTGATACTTTTGCCCTCGTCCATTTTCTCAAAAAACATAGATCTTTTACTCAAGTATGCTTTTCCAAAGTTACCTCAAAGGCGCAGAGAACATCGGCATTTTGACAGACAGTGTACATGAACGCTTGAAATCTAAACCAGAATAAACTGAGGAAAAGGGAAACCGCTACAAAATACTCTTCTAAGTGATGAGCATACTGTGAAGGCATCGATGGATGACTTACAAGTGCACCCAAAGGAAATAATCACAATCGCCATAGAGAAAAGCTACCAAAAGAAGTACCCTCAACGTCCTACCTTACAAAAACTTTTAGTGCACGATCGCGACGTTCCGCATACGTGGAAGTAACGGTGTAAATAAACACTGCCAGTAATTGGAAATGGACTCAATTTCCAATTACAGAATCTCACAAGGTAGATGGTTATTACCCGAGACAAGTAGGTGGCTAGTTGTTGCTCAGTATCCTGCGCTTGTAGAACTGCTTGAAATCTTTTTCGACCCAACTATTTACTTTGTTACTCTTGCTTTCATTACATTTCCTTGGGATCTTGGAATTGAGAGCATTAGTGGGAGCAAATAGCTGCGAAACAAATCATATGTCGATTAGTTATCATTACATTAACGGATGTGAATTGAAAGAATGCGTGGCATAGAGGCAACATACAGCAAGGACTGCAGACAAATCAGATGAAACTTTGCGATCCTTATGCTTGGCTGGAGCAACACTGGCAAGTGCGAAAAATATGAGAACTATAATTTAAAATAAAAAAACATACAAAATAATGTGAATATTTCAATCCTCAATCTATGTATGGAACATTCATCCAACTCCAAAATTTGATGGCCAAAAATTATAAAACAGCAGTAATGAGCTATCATGAAAATAAGTAGTTTCACCTAATATTGATCTTCAAAACGCAAAAGTTACCCAATTTCGCACAATTTGTAGATGGGTGTTTTTCCCTATAGAGAACCAGATCACTTTGCATCATCGATGCTCTTTCTTAGCCTAACGGAGTGAAAAACATGCATGATGGTACAATCTAAAATGGCAAGCATTCAGAAATCTATGCGAGTCTGTTTTGTTTTCTAATCCTTCCTCTTGTTCATCACACTGAGGTTCCTCATCGTCTTCCACTACTTCATGTATATTATGTATCTATTTCTCTAGTTAATAGCTTCCCCCGACATACTGCACCAATAACTAAAAAGAAAAACCTAAAGAGGCAAGTCTATGCACAATAGAACAATCGGATTCTCGTATTAAAGAAATGGAAGAATTTTAAGAAATAAATTGAACATACTTTACAAAGCTGCTCTTTCCAGGTTGGCTCTTGTCCTGCTGAATACCGGGTTTATACAAGTAGCTACTGAAGAATTTTTCAGCTTCAATTTGACCGTTGTTCTGGTTAAAATGATTGATATCAGAATCCATCTCCATACTACTTCTGGCTAAGCCCGTTAACTCATTACGGTGTCCTGCAAGGCCAATAACTTACGATAATGAGAAGTTGATTACTACAAGAGATGTAGAATATTTGTAATCTTAAGAACAAATACCTTCAGGCTTCGTTGCAATAGTCGGATCTCTTCTTAGGAGTTTCTGGCACATTGTAGTGTCTTGAAAACAGAGAATTGTGTACTCTGAGAGATTCAATCTGTTGGAATCGCTCATCTTGTTAAATCCAAAAGATGAAGTCCATGTCCGTAGAAGCTGAGGTACTGCAGGCAATACAAGACTTTGGACCCCCAAGCCTGACAGTAACTGTATGATAAGATAAAAACATACTGATAACTCTCGAGATTTCAATAATTTGCAGCATACTGCAAAGAAAGTTACGACGGATTTGTGGATACACACTAAGAGGTTTCTTAAGAAATGAATCCATTTGTAGGAGATTCGAGGTTGCTCAAGTTGAAGATAAAAATGAGAGAGAAATGGATTGAGATGGTTTGAGCATGTGCAACATAGGCCACTAACTGCACCAGTTAGGAAAAGTGAGAACATTATATTTAAATTTATGGAACAAGGTGGACCAGAGTGAGACCTAAAAGAATTTGGTTTGAACCAATTAATAAAGATATGATAATAATTAGGGTACACCATCAGTAGAACTGAAAGGAATACTATGATTTATGTAACTTATTTTGCTGAATCTATAAAGTCAAAAGGTTCAAGCGATACCATCGAAGCACAATGATGAATGCATGTTTTATTTGCATAATTTGTGTTAAAAACAATTTTAAAGTACTTGCAATACCTTCTCAAGTTCATTCACAAGAAGGCGGCACATTCCTTGGTGGCGATATTTGACACGAGTACCAATAAGAGGCATTTCCGCAACCTTATCCCCGAAGACCCTAAATAATGATTATGTAAAACGTAAATAATTTCACAAGTCAAGACTTCAAGTCAAACAAAATAATAAACTAATCAAGCAAATGATTAGATCAATTATATAAAATATATACCTGAACGTAGCCACAGAAACTAGTTCGTCTTCCTTTTCCAGAAGCATGGTATAAAATCCATAGAAGTTCAACCTCCTCAGCTCTGACCTAGAGGGACAATGAACACAATGAAAGTTTGATGTGCATACTAGTAATTTGCATCCTTCTAATAATAGATGAAGTTGTAAATAGATGTAAAATAATGATAAGGGTAGAAAGGTCTTACTCTCTATTACATAGAAGATCTTCCATAAAATCACTCCCTGTACGAGGTTCTTTAATACTCAAAAAGCATTCATGAAGTACTTTAAGCGCAACACAGAGCTTGCTATCATGCTCAATTATTTTCTCAGCATCAAATTGCAAATTATCAACACCATTTTCTCTGCTTGATCTCAAAATAGTCCATGATAAACCTTCTATAGCTGTTGGTTGAGATTTCCCCAGAAGTTGCCGCAGATGGAGAAATATCTGCAGAATATTCACTAGCAGATAATAAACTAACGTCTTAACTTAAAAAATATTGTAATTTTATTTAACGTTTAGTTATTGCATTATAGAGAAAGTTATCAATATCTTTGTGAGTACCCTCATGCAATTTCCAGACATGGGTAATACCAAAACCAATTTATTTTATTCTACAAATACATACAAATTTGATATGGTTAGCAAAAACTCATGCAATTTTTAGTAATACTAGACATAAATAGAAAACATAAATATATGAAGTGATCATAATAGTGAAAGAAAGATTGTAACTACCTTTGAGCACTTTTTACTGCAAAACCAATTTCCAACTGGATAATCACGTAAACTGTCGTCCCCTCTTTTCCTTATGCACCCAACATGATCTGCATACATAATATTGGAAAGATGTCATATTATACATAATATTGGAAAGATGTCATATATTATACATAATATTGGAAAGATGTCATATATTATAGATATATCTTACATTCAAGTTCACATTGATCACAATACAATATTGTCTTCTCCGAGAACTGTTCAGTGGCAGAATTGAATTCACTCATGCCACAAATGCCACATCGACAGGATGGACAAAACCATTTTCCACCCGGCACACTCTACAAATACAAAAACACCAAAACAAGTTTATAAGATGACATTTGTAAGTCTTCTTTTAATATAGACGGTATTTCTGAAAATTTATAGTAAGACAAAATTCTCTTTACCTCCAAACTCACACAGCCAAGATGAAAAGAAGACGGGCAGTGGTCACATAGAATTAGATCACCACCATCGTGACAGATAGAGCAAACAGTATCACTTTTGTATTGACAGCAATCAACCTTCATTCGTTGGCGATTTAGATATTTAGGCTTCTTCTCTTGTACCATCTTCTTTTGGCACTCCAACAATGACGTTCCATTTTGTAAGAATATGCTCGCATAAGGCCTGTGGTATTTACTTCCAGCATGAACCTCAAAATTGCTAGGATTGTACACCATTTTACAACACTTGCACTTTATCCCGTCACTTGTAATGTGCCCTTCCATCAAAACCTGCCCGTTTGATTTATGAATATAGCTTACTTTATCCCTTAGATTTACCATGCCATTCTCTATAAGCAAAGATAACACTGTTCTAGCTGCACGCTGGCTTGAAGTTTGTACATTGATCTGCTGTGGCCTTTTCTTTGATTGTGTGTCAATTTGAGAAACCATTTTCCTTCTCTTTGATCTTCTATTTCTTTCAGCTACAATTTCAGTAGATTCTGAAAATTTAGAGTAATTCCTTAATCTGTTTGTACCCCTCTTCAGATTTTCTTCTCTCAAGTACTCAACACAGGCTGAATAAAGAGATCGAAAAGGCTTGCCAGTAGGAGAAGTGATGAACAACGCATTTCTTTCTTGTATTTTGATCCAAAATTTCCAACCCATAAATTTAAGATGTCTCCGAGCATTCAACCTAATGACATTGAGTTCACATGATGCAATATGCTTTCCTTTGCCTCTTGACAAATCACAGTACTTTTTATAATCAAATACTGCTCGAGGAAAGCTCCCTGGTTCAAGATTATCATCCAAAAGAGATGCGTTTTCTAAACCGAAATGTTCTTCAAAGATGCTAGATGAAATCTCCTCAATGACACCAGAGTCAATCATTTTGGATAAGGACTGTGATTTCTCTGTGGTTATCCTGTTTGATTTTGGATCAAGAATAGAGTCCTCTTGATGTTTGCTACTCTTCAACAGATGATGAAAATTTTCATGAACAATATTACTGATATTAGATTTCACGTAGCTTTTATCAGTACGCTCATCATTTCCTTGCTTCTCCTCCCACTTTGGATGACCTTGCAGCAAAGAACAGCAAGCTTTGCGAAGAGAATGATAGCATTTCCCCTCAGGTGAAATATAACGAACCCTTACAATTGTTTCAGTTTGTCTAGTTTCAATCTTCCAGCCAAGAGCTAAAAGATGCTTTCTAGCTTTTTCTACTACATTGCTGACTTTGCAATAAACTTTCTTTCCATTTATCCGCTCCTCATTCACACAGATCATTACAGCTTCAGGATAATATGCTGCCTCAAGATTGATAGGCTTCCAGGGCTCTGCAGTACTTGAGTTTTTTCTACCAAAATTGTTTTCATAAATTCTGCTAGCTTCTACAATAAAATCACAGTTTTCTTCAACAGCCAAGATAGAAACCTTCGAACCACAGTGATCATTTTTATACTTCTGAGCAGAAAATTCATCAGAAAGCTTACTTTTTGAAATATCAACAAGCTGCTTATAAAAACTCCCACCAAGGACAACTGTTCGCAACTCCTGTATCAACTCTGAAACCAGCATGTGCCAAATAGATTGAGAACCAAAAATCCAGACTCCAATTTTCTCAGAGAATGCATCAGTAGCTCTCAAATCGAACCAAATTTGTCTAACTGATACCGGCAGTTCCTCATCCTCATTGAAAGATTGAAGCACTTGAAGAAATACCCACTCACCTCGAGGCCTCCAATGCCCTGAGACCTCATTCCACTCTTGTGTGAGTCGTAAATTATCAATATTAACAATTTGCTGATCACCTTGATCAGGAAAAAAGATCAAACATTCTTTCGAATCCTCAGCATGATCAATTACTACGCCTTCCCACCAAGCATCATTGACCAATGCATCAACACATAGTCCATATTTGATTTCGGATTTCTGGATTTCACGAGGAGGAGGTAAACGCCTGATATGGCCCCGGTAGTTCTTCTGGGTTGTAACAGTGAGACCTTCTATAGCATCAGATACGTGAATTTGTTCTTTAAGTCTTGAGTAGTTGTCCTCGCCCACAAGATTTCTGTATTCAACAAGACGAGTGTGTTTTTCCAAACCGATGACTGTGCCTGAGTGCCAGGACCCTTTAAGCCCTTCATCAGAATATCGGACCTAAAGTAATATAAAGACTAGAGTAAGAAACATGAAGGTCATGCACCACGGCAACACTTGACAAATAGAATGGTACGGAAGAAACAGAAAAATTAACTACTGAGAATTGTGCAATAAACAACACTATATCAACAAGAACCTAGAAAGAATCATCAAAATAGAGTAAAACATCCTTCAGGTCCAACATGCAGATGAGAGTGAAATTATTTATATTAGGAGACGCCCATAGACAATTAATAATTATAAAGGCATTATGAGAGGAAAAGCAAAGGGGGAATATTCATCTAAAAAACAAGCAATTGTTCGAAACTCAAAAATGAAAGGCATCTTTTCCAAATGACATGGGAAAAAAAAGAAATTAAAAATGAAAAAGTAAAAGCTACATTGTGCATCATTATATTTGTTAAGGTCATAATTAAAAAAAAGGTAAAAGCTTATTAAAAGTCATACTGACTGTAAACCATCAGCTGAGGGTGGAAACACACAAGAAGAACAAAATAAACTAAACATGATGAAAGCAAGTAGTTGTCAAGCTGATTAATATATAAAGATGATGCCAATCATCTACTACTTACAAACAAAACATGCAACAAGTAAACAAAAATTATTTCTTTGTTTCCATGTTGCACAATGGGAAAAATACAAGATCCAAACAACAAAAGGCCTTTCAAATGGAGGTATAGGTAGATGCAAAATTAAATCCTAATAGTCATTTAAAAGATTAAAATTCTGAGAGGCTCTAGGGGGAAAATCAACACAATTGCATTGTAGGAAATGATAGACTGTCCACTCAAAGGAAATCATTTATGGTTTCTCACAAACAAGATCAAGTGGATTAAAATAGAAGGGTCAATGGCGTGCTTATACCAGCCAGCGAACATTTTTTCTGGGCTTGTTTGCTACAGCTAAGGACGTGGATGACAACATCATCTTCCCGGGAGAATGAATAGATGGTGTCTGAGATTCCACCATCCCTACACAAAAGGAAAGAGTAGAGTTGATTGACTTCATTCAAAAATTGGCTCCACATAGGAATACGCAACATGATATCCTTTTAAGGCAGAAACTGTAACACCCTGACTCTAACACTACTGTCTGGGTATTCAGTGGAAATTTCAGCATGATCCAGCTGTACAGTCAATGGTAAAGTCAAGGGTCGACCTGTACAATCAATCCAAAAGCAGAAGATAGTTATACTATTGTTGATGACTAAGATCACATAGTCAGTAGATTCCAGAAAACGATCGGTTTTGTTTTGTATTGAAGAGGTGCCACTTTCTTCTCTCACTTTATATCTAGTTCTTGAATTGGGGTTTTGAACAATCTGCACGTATAGAAATTCGTGAGAGGACGGGGATTGATTCCCCCGTTGTACCTCCAACGATCAAGTTAGTTGATCCGTTTGATGAAAAAATAAGAACTCTGTTCTTATAATTATGCAGTATGTATGTCAGGAGGTCCGATTTTCGAATCCTCTCTATGTTCGAATAGTACCTGTATTTATTCCCGGAGTATAAGGGGTTGATTGGTCACTTCGGCCGAGTACAGTGGGGCGGTGGTGAAGTATGAGTTGGCAGCTGAGTCAGCATTGACTTTACAGGTGTAGGCTGGCGACTGAAGGGTAGTTCACTTCGACATTAAATGAGAAGTGATCGGCGGCATGGCAGAGCCCACGTGATCTGATGAGTCATGAAAACTATCGGGGCTAGAGGCATGATGCTCCTTACAGCATTAAATACGATGTGGACATGTTGTCAGTACGGATAGCTTCGTCGAGAAGTAACGTCTTTTGAGTCGGTCTCGTGAAGCGTTGGACGAGTGGTCGAGTGGACCCTTGGCTAGTCGTTCTTGACAAGAGGGTTGACTAACTCCGTCTTTCATGTCGTCATGAGGGAATGTCGACTCGTCGAGTCGGCTAAGTCGGACTCTCTGTGGGACTTGAGCCACCCAGTTGATTGGGACAAGGCGTATAGAAATACATCTGTTCGCTTGCCAATACACTGTATTTCAGCGAGTGGGAACATCATAACAACTATACATACATATTCACTCCCACAGCTTAATAAGTTGACAACAGAGTCTATGAAAAATACCTTCATCATGGAAGCCAATAAGACGATATGAGAACACTTAACTACTACATAATCTTATATACAAAAGTTGTTACATAGCCATAAGGTTTTCTAATGTCTTCAAAATGATATATGGAGGACATTCTAAATGCTCGTTATCTATTTATCATAAGGTCCAATGGGTCTTTTACCTTTACTTGAAAAGCCTAGTGGGAACATTTTCAATCATTCAAAAAATGGTGAGCAAAAGATAAGCAAATAAAATAAAAAGGAACATGTATATTGTATCGGTCAAATGAATCATCAATTATAGAGGCTATACACTTTTCAAATGAGTTTATAGATCTTAAAGGTATCATTTCAGTTTAATAAGATGTCAATCAGACTATAGACATGCTGTTATCTCCAGGATTCTAAATTTTGCCCAACCATCATACGCTGAGATGTTACCACACACAACGCATTTCCCACTGAAATAGAGCACAGGAGTAACACATAATGAGCATCCATTTCATAATGAGACTCTATTAGAGGATACTACAAATGGAGAATCCTCTTCATAAAGGAAGGAGATTTCTTAATAACATTAATCAACAAGCGTTCTGACAATGAATGTCAATTGATCATTTACTCAAATGTAGATTTTCAGACAAACAAGGATGTGTCATAATTCAAATTGCCTGAAATGAGATGTTCATAATAAGGTTGCATGCAAACAAAAATTCAGTGTAGTATCAAATATCAGAGTTATTGAGAAATGTTACTTACTGGAAAGTCGAGCAAGTTTTACAATATGATGTTCGAATCTGATATTACTGAAGCCCAACATGATCATATAATATATTCAGATTAGATCCCTTATTAATGTTAGGATCTCTATTGCAAACTAAATGCATGGTCAAATAAACAGTTTACAAGTTGGTCATCATTGGGTCTCTCTCGTGTTTGTGCGAACGAGACTTTAGTTTTTAACAGTTAACTGCTTCTACTCTGCTTCTGACTCTTCCTTTTGTCTTTTGGGCTGAAATACAAGGCTAAATCCCAACATTAAGACGTTAAAATTAGTAGTTCCATAGTATCTAACAAGTATAGCTTCATGCTATGAGGTATGCATGCTATCAACTAATAGGGTCCTTAAACACGTTGCGAAATAATTGTACAGTATTTAGTATCAAAACTAGATGTTGAATGCTATTCGGTCACTTTAGCTGAATGATTTGGAGCACCAATTAACTACAAAATACTTAAAAGTTTTCTATCACACATCGGTGTATCAGTTACTTTCACAATGTCCCAAACGACACATTGATCAGGTCTCTAGTTTGTACGTTATGGCCATTTGCCCACAACTACGCTGAAATTTCTGTGTAGGACATTATTTTGGTTTCTTAGTTCAATGCTATTTTTTAGACCAAAGTAATTCTATTGTTCATGAAATTTCTTTCCATCATTAGTGTAACTTCAATGATCTAGCGGACCATTATAAAACAGTTTCCTTTTCTTTTATTTGAAATTTCTGCAAGTTTTCT